ATCCCCCATCCTAAGGAAAATACAACTACCATCAATTCTATCTATACCTCTTATTATTTTATGAACTTCTATCAGGTTGCGTCTCAACCTCCTCCTCTCCAGTGGAAAAAATCTCAGCCTATCTAGCCCTTCTTTATAACTCAAACTTCCCATACGCAGCAATACGGTCGTAATTCTTTTCTGAGCCCTCTCCAGCTTGATTATATACTTCTTATAACTGGACAACTAGAACTGGACACAGTATTCCAGAAGAGGCCTCGCCAATGTTCTGTACAACCTCAACATGACTTCCCAACTCCTCTACTCAAAGGCCTGAACAATGAAGGCTAGTGTGCCAAATGCCTTTTTAACCACCCTGCCTATATGTGATGCAAACTTCAAAGAATTATGTACCTGCACCCCTAGGTCCCTCTGTTCTACAACATTACTCAAGGCTCTACCATTAATTGTATAAGCCCTACCATTTTTTGTTGTACCAAAATGCAATACCCTTGCATTTATCCAGATTGAACTCCATATGCCACTTTTCAGCCCATTGACCCATTTGATCAAGATCCCCCTGTAATCTTAGAAAACCTTCTTCACTGTCTATCATGCCACCAATTTTGGTTTTGTCTGCAAATTTACTAACCATGCCTTCTGTATTCTCATCCAAATCATTTATGTAAATGACAAACAAAAGAGGTCCCAGAACCGATCCCTGTGGAACACCGCTGGTCAAAGGCCTCCAGTCCGAAAAGCAACCCTCCCCCATTACTGTCTCCTGCCGTTAAGCCAAGTGACTAAAGTATGGATGAATGTATCAGACAGGTTGAGGTAGAGGTGGTAAATTAGCGATAGATGTTCAGACAGTAGTGCAATTGGGCATTCTCAATAATTAAGAAGATACACAACACATTTAACTGATTATTTGAGATTAAACAAAACTATGAAGCAAAAGAAAATGATTGACTTTTTACCTCTGAACAGTTCTCATTAACTTGCTCCTGTATGTGTATTCTGATTAGCTGCTATTTTCCATCCTTCATAACTAACTGCAAAACTGTAATCTTCAGCAACTTGAACGGGATGCTGAGTATAATGTTGCATGTGCTAAACCATGCGGACCAGAAGCTTCCATGTTTGATTCTTGATTTGTCTTGAGTTAGACAAGCTCAACCAGAGCAGGAGTTTGGGGCTACACTTGTCTCCCAACTCTAGCTTAGGGTCCAGTACCACAACCTGACAGGCTTCGTTTCTTCGTTCATTGGATGTGGAAATTGCTAACTAAGCCAGTACTTATTGCCCATCAATAATTATTTTGGACAAAGTGGTGGTGAGTCGCCTTCTTGAATCACACCAGCCCTTGATGTTGCATGATTAGGAAGGTACTTTGACCCAAGTCAGGACGGTGCATGACTTGGAGGGGAACCTGAAAATAGGGGTGTTTCCAAGTATCTGCTGCCCTTGTACTTCTAGTTTGCAGAGATCAAGATCTGTAAGGTGCTGCAGAAGGAGCCTTGGTGAGTTACCACAGGTGCCTCTTTTAAGTGATACATAATGCTGCCACTGCACATCAGTGCAATGATTGAATGAGATGAAATGTTAAAGGCAGGGTGGCAACGAAACAGGCTACTTTGCTGTGGATGGTGGCAAGCTTCTTGAGTGTAGTTGGAGCTGCATTCATCCAGGTAAGTGGTTGCATTGAAGCTTGATGAAGTTTTGAATCAAAGTGAAAGGTGAACAGCCAAGGCCTAATATCTTGCCACTGTACATCAAAGGACTAGAACTGCTGTAAAATATCTTGGGCTGTTTATATCAAGAAATATGCATTAAAATGTAAATACAATCTATGTTATAAGTGGTTAGGCACTGAAAGGTGTCACATAATTGATTAGTGTGTGCCATGTGAATTAGTACATTCAAATTAAACTGTCATGTAACTTTACAAATTTAATAAATAATATGTATTTTTGGAAAAGAAACACCTTCAATGTTATCAGAGGGATATTATCTGGATTTTGCTTCTATGAACATAATAGGAGCAGGAGTAGGCCATTTGGTCTCTCAAACCTGCCCTACCATAGAGTCATACAACACAAAGCTGACCCTTTGGTCCAACCAGTCCATGCTGACCATTTTGCCATTCAACAAAATTATGGCTGATCTGCCCCAGGCTTCAACTCCTCTTTCGTGCCAACTCACCATAGTTCTCAACTCCCCAATATTTCAAAAATATAAATGCAAACCAATCTAAACCCACAATGACTTCTATCTAGAAGGACAAGGGCAGTAGATAAATGGGAACATCACCATCTTCAAATCCCCCTCCAAACCACTCATCATCCTGACTTGGAAATATATCACTGTTCCTTCACTGCTGGATCCAAATCCTGGAATTCCCTCCCGAAGAGAATCTGGGTCAACCCACAGCAGGCAGACTGTAGTTGTCCAAGAAGGCAGCTCACCACCACCTTCTCACAGACAATTAGGGACAGGCAATGAATACTGGCCAGCCAGCGATGCCGACATCCCACAAATGAATTAAAAAAAATCTACCTAGCTCCTCTTTAAATACTCTGAGTTCCTTCAACTCTCAATTTTAAGTGAGAGTCTCCTTCTTTTGTAATTATATCCCCTAGTTTGAGATTCCTCCACTAGGAGAAATGTCTTCTCAGCATTTTCCTTGTCAAACCTTCTTAGAATATGGTATGTATCAACAAGATTACCTCTCATTTTTCAAAGCTTCAATGAATAAAGGCCTGACCTGTTTAGTCGTTCTTGACGAGTCAACCCTTCATTCCAGGAATCAGTCTACTGAATCTCATTTGAACTGCCTCCAATGCTAGTACATCCTTTCTTATATATGGGACCAAAAATGTATACTGTACTCCAGTTGCTGCATCACTAACATCCAGCAGAGTTGTAACAAAACTTTCCTACTTTTAAACTCCAAATCTCCACTAATAAAGGCCAAAAAACCATCTGCCTTCTTGATTAGAGATAGTAGGAACTGCAGATGCTGGAAAATCTGAGACAACAAGGTGCAGAGCTGGATGAACACAGCAAGCCAAGCGTCATAGGAGCAGAAAGGCTGAAGTTTCGGGCCTAGACCCTTCATCAGAAAATCCAGCTCTGCACCTTGTTGCCTTCTTGAATACTTGCTGCACGACAAGCTAACTTTTTGTGTTTTGTGCACACAAATACCTAGATTCCTTCGTGTTTTTTGTAGTTTCTCCAATTTAATAGTAGTCTGCATTAACCCAAATACCATGAGACCCGATCTTGTGCAATAATTCTTATGTGGTACCTTATCAAATAACTTCTGGAAATCCAAATACATCTACTCAGGATAGGGCGTCACACTTTTAAGGCAGCTGAGGAGGAATTTCTGCTCTCAGAAGGCGGTGAATCAGTGGAACTTTTTATCGTAGAGGGCTTTTCAGGCTAGGTTGTTTAGTATATTCAATGCTGAAATAGACAAATTTTTAATCAGTAAGGAATCAAGGGTTATGGAGTATAGTCAAGAAAGTGGAACTAGGGTTATCAGATCAGCAATGATCAAAGTGAATAGCAGGTCAGACTTATAGAATTCCTACATTCAGCCCATCCAGTTTGCACTGACCGTCTAAGAGCATTCCATCCTGATCCACCCCATCCCCATAACTCTGCATTTCCCATGGCTAATTCACCTAACCTGCACATTCTTGGACACTGTGGGACAATTTAGCATGGCCAATCCACCTAACTTTGGACTGTGGGAGGGAACCAGTGCGCCTTGTGGAAACCCACGCAGGCGTGGGAAGAATGTGCAAATTCCACACATATGCCCAAGTCCCTGGCGCTGTGAGGCAGTGGTGCTAACAACTGTGCCACCGCGCAACTGAATGGGAAATTGAATGGTCTAATTCTGCACCTATGTCTTATGATCTTCCCCATTATCCTCTGTAATGGTAAAGGGGAACCAGTCATTGTGGTGAATTTCTGAAAGCTTTTAATGAAGTCCCACACAGGAGACTTTTGAACAAAATTAAAGTGCATAGGATGGATGCTAATATGTTGGCATTTTTTGGGGATTGTTTAAAGAGGATAGGAATAACTTCTGAATGAGTCATACCGGATATTCTCCAGCATTTTCTTCATTTGTTTCAAATTTTGCAGAATTTTGATTATTGTCACTGAATTTGTTCAAAAGAATGATTGATAAGTTTCAAGATGCTAATATCTCCAAGGCATATGAGGCTACAGAAAATGGCGTTGAGTTAGATGGTCTGCTTCTATATTGTGTGTCGCGATCGGTAGTAATCAATATGATTTTAATGTAATTATTATGGTGCTCATATTATCAAATGCACTAAATGGATAGAATCACTCGCCAGTGATTCTATTTCGGAGATAGTTGGCAGAGCCACTTGGTTGAACACACTCCCACGTTCAAGAGAGCTCATCTCTGCTGCCGTCCTGGTTGGTTCAGCACAGCCTAAAATAGAATCTCAGCGCGTCACGCATGTGGTCACCAGAAATCTTCTGACACAAACGAGAGTCAGGAAGAAGGGGGAAGTACGTAATCACGACCAAATGTCTTAGATGTGACTTGATTTCAATAATAAATAATGCGTATTTTGTAAATGTGCAGTAATGTTGATTTTTGACCAGACGACGGGCAGTGTCCATACAGGAAGGATGGTGGCGGTCAACTTGAATCGTCGCCTCCCATTGGTTGCTGGTGATTTCATCCCGGCAACATCTGGGCACAAGCTGCTACATAGACAAGACGGGGAGGAGGTGGTGTGAAGAACAAATCCCGTGACGACACAATCGATCGACGTACCGTCTCATCCAATCGACAAGGGATCTCGCAGCATTCTGACCAATGATAAATGAATGATGTGAAAAGAGGATGGGGGTTTGAATAAAAATAAATTATACGTTTGACGACAAAGTCGGGTCGATTAAAAATTCTGCACCGAACTTTCCGGATTTGAAGCGGGCGGAGTGAAAACACACACACACACACAAACCTCCATCACAAGTTTGGTAGTTGTGCCCGTCCGCTCATCTTGTGCAGTGAGCGGTCGTGGCGTCTGTTTCTTTTCTTCAGCTCGCACTTATTTCTTTTTTTTGAAAGGGATAATTCTTGATGTCCGCCTGAGACGTCACAAAAATGTCTGAAATTGTCCGCCGCTGTCAGTTGCAGGCACTGATAACGAGCAAGATAGTATAAAATCGTATTCTGTGAAAAAAGTACTTTTTTAAAAAAAAATTTTAAAAATTGACCTCGCGTATAAATCTGAAATCGGGAACCTACGAGACAAGGCAGGAAAAAAAAAGGAGTAAGTAGCCAGGTTTAAATATCTGGGAGGGTCTCTGTAAATGTACTTGGCCCCCATGCGCTTCTGGCCCTTCTCCATCTCCTCACTTCCCCAACCTTCCACACCCTGTCCTCTTTTCGCCGCCTCCATTCCACCATAAACCGGGGCTTGTCAAAAGGCTTAGGCCCGAGCTACATTTCTGTTCCTGATGTGTGTATGTACTATCAATATTTTCATACGTAAAGCCAGAATAGACAGATTATAAAATGAATCTACCAGAATCTCAATTTGCATCTGAGAAATCATGCCAAACATAATTTCTTTTTATATGTACTGTTTTTATTTTAACGAGTTTGCTTACGAGTACGTTGTTCTTTTCGTATTGTTGAAAACGACATCAGTGCCCTTAACTGAGGAGTAATTAAATGAGGGGCTTGGAGAAAGGTCATTGTAGGCCTCTTGTGTGAATTACCTGTATAGACTTGTGTGTTGACAACTGTTAGTGCTTTTTTTTAAACGAATAGAATTTTAAAAGAAACCTTGAACACGAAATAACGTTGAATTATCGGTAACATATATGCAGTATGTTTTTTTTCACTTGTGTGGTTTTAAAACGGAGCTGTATGTATTAGATTTCAGATGCATTTTGAATTAAAATGCAACTTAGTTACACCTCATTGGATTTTTATATATTTGAAATTTAGAAATGGTATTACGACCCATGTTTTGGTTTAGCATAAAGATCAGCATTAGTATTTCCCTATAACTGACGGTTTTGTGTTCTTGAAATTCCTTGCAATAGATTACAAATCGTCTTCCCATTAAACTTTCTACCAATAATCTATTATTGTTTTCCATAGGTATGCATAGTACTTTGTGTACGTGCTGGATAAGATTTCCACTCGTTAAATTATCTGGTTTTCTGAAGGCTTTATTTCAATTACACTTCATGCATTTATTTACTATTTTAGGATTTTATCTGCATTTTCAGATCAGTAGAATTTGATAGGTTGGAGGTGTGGGAGCTGTGCCTTTGTTTTAGCTGTGTACTTTTGGTAGTTTTTTTTTGATGAATGACGTTATTTGGTGAACTATTTCTACTGTTGTGACACAGATTGTGTGAAAGACTCATAATATGTCATGATATTACTGTTATGCTATTATCAGAGACCTGAGACATTTACGTTGGAGCTCCTTTTAAGTAATATTTTAATTATACTAGCTTTGCCAAGTCCAAAGCTGAATTCAATAATCTCAGGCCTCTATTTTACTGGCTAATTTAAGAGGCTCTGAGGGTGATTATCAGATATCTTCTTTATTTATGACATCAAGTCAGTACTGTAAACTCGCACTATTCCACAAAATTGGAGAATAGCAGTTTCTGTTTCGGAAACCCTATGCTTACTTTAAACTTTACATTTTTCAGCTAAATCTGGATTTGCCCTAATTTGAAATTTGTATTTGATTGGAGATTAATCAGTATTTTGCATAACTTTTCTCAAGTAGATGAAAGTAGGATTGCAAGTGGACATATGTATGGATGAAGATATGGAACTTGTAAATACATATTTTAAAAGCATGCTGTATTAAATGAAGTTGATGAAAATAAAAAGAAAGTCACCAGGCGTAAGTGGAATCAATTCAAGAATATTGAAGTATTCCTAAGTGTTGAAATGTCGGAACTTTGACTCTTGCTTGGTATTTAAGAACTTTAGGGATAGCTGAATAAAAGGTCATGGTATCAAAACTTTTCATCTTGCACTTATTAGGATATACCAAAAATGTATGATCTCGTTGCCTGATGAGTTCAAAATGGAAAGCATCTAACGGTATGTTTTCTTTTCAGCAAGCTTGCTAAGTGGAATGTGGCAAATGTTGTACACAGCTTTAGGAAAGTGAAAGGCTACACCAGGGACTAAACCAGTCAATGTTATCTCTGCCATGGGTAAGCAAATTAGGGAAAACTTCAAAAAAAAAGGTGAATTGGGAACAGTCAGCATAGATTTGTAAAGGGTAAATCATGCTGAACTGAATTCGTTTTGTCAAGGGAATCAGTGTCTGAATCAAGTTAGCGTGATGGTATTCATGGAGTCTCGGAAGACTGAATGCATGCCAGACAGGAGATTGAGAACAAAAAATAAGCCAGGTGGTATTAGAGGAACTATAATTAATTGCATGAGTATGGACGGCAACAAATGACATGATGGGAGGTGGAATTGTGATGGCCAGAAAGCTGAGAATCTCAGTAAATGGATATTTTCCACCTTCTTGCAATGTGAGTAGGAGGTTGCAAGATCTTCTGTATACAAGTATTCTAACTTAGGGCACAGAGAGAACAGGTCCTTTGGGAATTAAAGTGCTGGAGAAACTCAGCAGGTCTGGCAGCATCTGTGGAGAGAGAAAAACAGAGTTCATGTTTGTAGCGCAGTATGAGTTTTCCTCAGAACTCAACTTCTGAAAGGAAGAGAAAATGTTTCTTATTAAAGTGTCAAATGAGGCAAAGATGAGATTGGAATAGCTTTGAGATGGTGTTAATGGAGACAAAAGTCAAGAGTGCATGTGGTGGACCATAAGACTGAGTGTAGACCTCAGTACACAGCAGGGACAGCATTGTACGTCTGAATGAAATTTTTGGAATCTTACTGATACGGAATGTGTAGGTCATTCCTTTCTAAGGGGGAAAAGAAAAGATTTCATAGCTAGTTCAAGAGCTGCAGTTTTTTATCAGGCAGTTTAAAGTGTGTTCTCAACAATGAAAGATTAAATTGGGCAAGAGCAAGTCTTGAAAAATGTTAAGGAGGGTGAGGGATTTTCCAGAATAGATTTGATGTAGGATGTGGAAATGATAGTGCAGTAAAAGATATTTATTTCCAAATATATCAAGTAATAGCCATTTTGTACATTAACTGGAAGAAAAATTATTGCACATAAATGTGAAACACTTTCTCTTACATTTGAACTGGCTTTCAAAGCACTTAGAATCATTGGGTTTTACAGCATAGAAGAAAGCCATTTGCCTTGTATCTGCTCTTTCTATGAAAGAGGGAAACATTTAGACCCATTGTCTAGTTCATTACTCAAGTTTTAATATTTTAAATATTTAGCCACTTTTCTCAGCATCTGTAATGGATTCTTTGCCTGCCATGCTTTCTGAAGAGGTGTATAGGTTTTAAAACTAATCATTAAGGAAAGTATCTGAATATCATTTATTATTTTAGTATGGTCTTAACTTTATACTCTCTAGTTACTGACTTTATGACCAATGAAAGCCTTCGTAAGATTAGACCATGAGACTCATGAGCAGAAGTCGGCTATTCAGCCCATTGAACCTGCTCCTGCCATTCAAAGTCATCATACTTGATTTGATTATCCTCAACTCCACTTTACTCTCTTTTCTCCATTGCCTTGATTCCTTAGTGATTAAATGTCTATTTATCTAGGTGTAGAATACACTTATTCACCCAGCCTCCACAGGTCTCTCTGGTAAAGCATTCCACAGATTTACATCGGAGAAGAAATTCCTCCTCATATCTGTAAAGGAGCGACCCTCCCATCCCCACCTCTCGTCATGCCCTCTGTTCGTAGTCTCTTCCTCAAGGGGGAACGACCTTCCTGCATCTACCCTGTCAAGTCCCCTCAGAATTTTGTATGTTTCAATAGGGTCATCTTTCATTCTTCTATATTCTAATGAGTACAGGCCCAATCTACTTGACCTCTCCACAGAAGACCATCCCTCCATACCTGGTATCAGCCTAATGAACCTTCTCTGACTGTTTCCATTCTAGGATATCTTTTGCTTAGATAAGAAGCCCAGGACTATTTATAGTAATCTTGCTGTGATCTGACGATGACAAATGCCTTGTATGGTTTTAGCTTAATTTCCCTACTTTTATACTCCAATACCTTTTGAAGTAGAGGTCACCATTCCATTTGCCTTCTCTATTAGCTACTGAACTTGGATGCTAGCTTTTTGTGATTATTAGAGGAGAACTCCCAAATCCTTCTGTTTCATTGTTTTTTTGTAGTCTTTCTCCATTTAAATAATATTCAGCTCCTCTATTCTTCCAGCCAAAGCGTGTAACCTTGTATTTCCTTAATTATTTTTCATCTGCCAAATTTTTGCCCACTCACTTAACCTGTATGAATCCCTCTGCTCACTGTCCTCACTTCTTATCTTCGCACTTATTTTTATCATCTCCAAACTTGGCAATAGTACTTTCACTTTTCTTCATTCATCCATCCAAGTAATTTGTATGTATTGTAAATAATTGTGGGCCCAACTGCTCTCTGTGGCACACTGCTAGTTAGAAGTTCCCATCTGAAAATGCCCCCTTGTCCCAACTCTGTCTTCTCTTTGTTAGCCAATCCTCTGTCCATACTAATGTACTTCCTTCAACACTATTAGCTCTTACCTTATTAAGTAGCCTATTGTGCTTCCTTATCAAAAGCCTTTTGAAAATTCAAATATATTACATACACTGCTTCCCCTTTATCCTCCTTGTTACTTTCTCGAAGAATTCCAGTGAATTAACCAGGTGTAGTTTCTCCTTCAGAGATAGTAGGAACTGCAGATGCTGGAGAATCTGAGATAACAAGGTGTAGAGCTGGATGAACACAGCAGGCCAAGCAGCATCATAGGAGCAGGAAGGCTGACGTTT